CAGATCTTCGATCCCCATTCCGATTCCGATTTGGAACTCCAGTACGGAATTCGGTTTCTGATTTAGGGGCCCCACTCCCTCGCAGCGAATAGACTTTTCTGCTTATTGATTTTTCATTCGAATTTCGTCGTCAGCCATTTGATTTATTGTTGTCCACTTAATTTGTTAGAGATGCTGTCCAGATACCAATACTCTCTATCCCCTGGCTGCTAATTCGCTGGAGATCGTCGCTCGGATGTCGTATTTATGGTCTCCGCCTTATCGTTGGGAAGATTTTCGAATACGTCTGTGGGTCTGCCCTCCGTTGAACTGAACTACTTTGCTCGGGCGAGCTTAAACTGCGTTAAATGCTTCGGGGTGGGGCCCACAAAATGGGGTTTCTTTGGTGATTTGCATAAATAGTTTGTTGCTCTGTGGAGCTGCGAGAATGCTTAATGGTTAAATCATTGTTTTTTGTTCAGAAGATGGACTTGGAACAAACAGAAACAATTTTCTATTCTTGTTCAAAGAAACTTATATTTTATTTAATCAGTATTTAATCTATAACAGTATTAAAGAGCAGCAGAAACAGTTAAAAAATAAAAATACAACAAAATAAACAAAAATGTCTTAAATATGAATTTAATTAGCTTAATTTGCATCTTTAAGGTATTAGTTTCTATATATTATTAGAGAAGCTACAAAGGTGCTAAATATTATTTAATTGCTTCACAAAAGAAAGCATTCTTTTATTTTCTTAGAATAAGCAGGCATAATAGAAATATTTTCTGGGTAAGCCAAACTATTGTTTTTTGCTCTCTAAAAAATTAATTTGCCAAACTACTGCACAGTAACACAATTTCTATGTCCTCCCTCGCAAGGGAGTCACCATTTGAATGCAGCAATTAGGAACTGTTCCCAACAGTGGCCAACGACTGACCCATCCTCCATTCTAACCGTCCAGGTGTGTGGTCACAATAGATGACCACACCAGGGTCCTGACCCGACCCTCCTCACCCCCTCCTTGTCCTGCCCTCCCCCTCCAAAAGCAACTCAGACAATGGCAATTGTGAGCGGCTGAGAATGTTGTCATATGTCGCCTCCGTCGCTGTCGTCGCACGTCGGTGTATTTCATGTAAACAAATAACAAATTAAATGAAAATTTAAATAAAGGAGAAGCAGAAGCAGCAGAACGACGATTTATGTTGCAGGATTGCAGGATAAGCCCGAAATCGACTGAGGGGAAACCCTCCGGCGACGCCGGCAGTCCTTGGCCTTGGTTGTTTTTGTGGTTGATGGAGGCGAAACCCCGCTGATCGAATCAAACGAAGGGAACACACACAGATACGTGTTCGGGGCGGCAAAAAGGACAATCGAAGGCGGCCAGGATTTGCTTGGGTCTGGTTTGGCCATGCCCCTGAGGGTTGGTCTGTGTTACCTTGGTCCTTGGTTCCTGGCTCCTGGCTCCTCGATTCCGACAAGGCGGGTGGCAATCGTCCTGTAATTGGGATTTGTATTGAGTTATTATTTATTGCCCCTCATTCTCGTCTTCGGTAGAGTCAAAATAGAGAAATTATCGGCAACAACTTTGCGTGTTGAATTGATTGATTTGCTTTCCTGGGGCCCAAATCCAAATTGCAGTCTACGTTTGTGTCTGTGAATAGTGATGAGAAGTATTTGGGCTGTTGTACTCGATACTTTTGGTTTTTGGTAAAATTAAATGTGTTTGCTTATTTAATTAAGTACTCAATTTTAAAAAATATATTTTAAATTTAAATATGTGCTAGGATTTCATAAAGCAAGTGAAAAATATGTTCTGCGACCTATAATTCCCAACTGGTTATAGCAGAAGAGAAAAGTTTAGAAATCTAAAATAAAGAAAATCACTATACTTATCTTTTAAATTGAAATGTTGTATTATTTGTACATTAGCTATAGGTAAAATCGGTACTTTTCCCATCACTATATGGTTCTGTGTCTGAAGCCCTCTGCGTTTGTTTAATCGTGTGTGTTTGTGTGTGGCATGCGGGTCCTTTGCATGTCAATAGGTGCTAAAAATTGACTTTCGAGCAACGCCCAGACGAAACCTGCTTGAAACTTAATTAACAAGCCTCCGCCGCAGATACAGATACATGTACTGTATCTCTCTGGCAACAGAAGCCAGGCCCCATCAAAAGATAAAACCCTGACAATCACTCAAAGCTGGAAGGGGGATCGGGAGGATTGGTATTGGGATTGGGATCGGGATCGGGATCTGGAGGGGCATGGGCATGCAAAATGCAGCTGCATTTCAGCCGGCATTTACATACTTACAAGGAAAGCAGCCGAGCAGCCAGAGCCAGCCGAATGATATATAAAAACACAAGAAATTTGACATGAACTGTGGAGATTTCAACGCAAAGATAGCGCCAAAAAGATGCCACCGAGACAGAGACAACCGATTTGTGTTTTTGGACTGGAGTGAAAGGGACAAGGAGTTTGGTTTTGGCTCCTTGAATAATGGCGGCCTCAATCAGGACCGAACGAACCCAAGCAATTGTAAGAAAAACTCAAGAGCCAGAACAGAACAGAACGGCAGATGAGATGAGTGGAGAAGAGAGCTCTGGGGTCTGAGTTCCGAGTTCTGGGGTCTGAGAAAGGTCGCTTCTTCAGCCCTTCGTCATTGTGGTTTTCTGGCAGCGAACGGCGAGGAGAGACAAAGATGACGCGATTGCTAGATTTGATAAGCAAAATCATTTGTGATAAAATAAATAATTGAGTTCGTTTGCATATCATGGGAAAGCATCTCTCACCGTCTCGGGCATACGCATTAAAACATACCTACATATATATATTTTGGGGGTATGGAAAGGCCTTAATAAATTCATAGGCACACTCATAACTTTTTCCCAATTGTGTCACAAATTAGACGGGACAAAGCGAAACGAAACGGGAACGGGGGCCCCTTTAGACAGACTTCAATCAAATCGGACGACTATCGGCAGCAACTATCTTTCGGATCCCCGAAAACGATCCCCACCTTAAAGTTAAGGCCCCCGGCGCACCTCCAATTGCGATAAAGCGTTAAAATTAATTATCGAGTGCCAGCAGCGCAGCTCAGTGCGTTGTGCTGTCAAATCTTTATCGCATAATTGATTTCATAGCTACTGCGTTTGCTTTCGGCGCTGCTTTCCTCAAATTACATGCCACAAGGGCCCTGCCAACAAAATGTCTGATGGGCCAAGCAATTGGGGTAAAAAGAGGAAAAATGTGGAGAAGAGAATAACAACAAACGGCAGCCACAAATCAACATCGCGATAAGAAACTGTGATTTTTATTTTTTCAAAAACTGATTTTTGATTTCCTGTACAATTTTGATTAAAAACGGTATGGCTATCTCCCTGTCTCTCTCTCTCTCTGTCTGTCATGTCGTCTCACCATTTGGGGGGAACCTTCTTCGCTGACTGTGAATGAACGGCTGAAAGACAAATTGAAAACAAAGTCTAATCAGTTGAGCAATTGAGCAATTTTATATACCCCTTACTTAGCGGATTAGATGGGCGTTACGCGAGTGCGTAGTTCTGGTATTATTTAAGATCGAAAACATTAACTCATAAAGCCTATACTTATGGAAATAATAGTCTATCAGAATAGTGCGACAATTCCATTCCCCGTATATAGGTTTAAAATTTTAAGAGTCTCGTTAAATACCTTTTAATATTTTCTTGGAGTCGATACTTAAATATCTAATGTATTTTTGTTTATGTCAAATTTGTTCTATAGATCAGTGGATGATACTTAAGTCCTTGTCCTAAATGAGGATAATAATTGTAAGTTTAAATACTAATCTTAAAGACTTCTGACGACTTAATTAAGTTTTTACGTTTCTAATTAAAACTCATTACATCCCCAAAAAGCCAGGGTAACATCTAGTCATTTTAGGCCTATCCATGTTGAAGTGTTTCTTATAATTTTCTTTGTTGCTTCTGGTGGCATTGTTAAGAGCGCGCTTGGAAATCTAATCACTGACAAGCTATGGCTGCCTGTATTCGATAGATAGTTGCTGATGGCTCACTCGAGGGGATGGACAGTGAGGGGGCTGTGGGGGTGAGGGCTTTAAAATTGATTCGGACCGGGTTGAGAAATGGTTTGAGATTTGGCAGCCGATAGGGCTTATGCAAGGTGCGAGGTAGGAAAGTTACCTATGGATTGTGGCCGGAATGTTGCTGCGATATGGCTACAATAAGCCCTCAAGCCACTGCAATATCCTTAAGTCCTTCGCTCACACCTCCACTAAAAAAGGACCACCATGTGTCGTAGCAGCTCCTCCTGTTCATTGCTGCGGCCTTTTGTGTCTGGCGTAATTAAAACTTAAAACGCTTTTTGTTTTGCAAGCAGCACTTGAACCATTGTTCGCCAACCCAAAAAGTTCACAACCCACCACCTCCCACCACCCGCGACCCTTGTTCTGCATGTCTCGAGTAACAAAAAGAAAGTATCTCAAGTGTGCTCATTGTAAAAATTCCAATAGAGAGCGTGCGACTTCGTTGGCATTAAAAAACCCCCAATTGTTGTATGAAAGTTGCAGGGGAACTTTGCAGGGCAGCCCACCCGGCAGGAGTTCATTCAGGAAAAGTAACAGAATCCGAGAAAAAGCCGGGGAGGGATGCAGTTCTCGGGGTTCAAGTGGGCCACGGAGCACGTGCCCAGGTCCTGAGAGTCAGCTCAAGTGTGCCAATATGTTGCAGCTTCGATCCTTGGCACATGCCACCACACGGAGCGTAGTGCCCCTTCAAAATGATCACTAAATTTATTGCAATTATTAGGTAGCTTATAAAGCGCCAATTTGTTTGTGTTAAAGGGTTTAGTGATTAACTAACCATAATGTGAAATGTTTTATACTAGTAAAACACTGCCAAGTTCGTGATCACTGATTATATGGTACAGGGATTAAGGTTTAATTTAATTAGGTTAAATCATGACATGATACATGTAATCTTTGATTATATTAACATAAATACGAAAGGTTTTTCATGGCGAGTTTAGTTTGCCTAACCAAAATGTTCCAGACAAGTTTGTGGTTAGTTCTCTTTCCGTTTATCGCTGAGGGATTAGTAAGTTAGAAAAGAATTAATAACCAGGACTTCTCAGCGAGTATCATTATTCTCCTATAGGGTTTTGGCTACAAGTCGTTCACGATGACCTTTGTGTCGATAACGCAGTCTAATGCATCTGCGGTGTGGGATCTCAGTAAAACGCGATTGATTGGACGAGAAAGGATGTTAAATGGAACCGCTACGCTAAGCGAGAACCTGACTGATGACCACTGGAGCTTTACCGTAGAGCTCTATTCCGACTCGACCGGAGAGGGCAACTACAAACTGTTGCCTTTTGGAATTCAAAATACACCCGCTTGCAAGGGGTACAAAAAATATCGCAGATACTTTTCCAATCATGCCAAATATGGAGAGCAAACCGATTTTCCCCTGCATCTGGATGTATGTCCCATACCAAAGGGGACTTACTTTTTGAAAAACATCATACTGAGCGAGGATGGCTATCCACCATTTGTGCACAGGGGCTATTTGTTGGTCAACGGAACGTACTACTACGACGGCATAAACACAGGCTACTATACCATCGTTGTTCGCTTGGAAGATGCGGAATAAAGCTTACCCATAAACACGAAAACAGGCTAACACGTTTTTCAGATACTGTAATATAAATATTCGAGTGGTTCCTTATTATATAATGTGTTTATCAACTTATTTTGTTAAAAAGAAGATATTTTAAGAAAATATCAGTGCGAATAAGGAATATAAGTTTTTCTGCCTATTGGACTGTCATTTAATAATATATTTTACCTGTACCGGTGCACCTGTAATTCCGACGCATAAATCATCAATGCAACTGCAGCAGGCCAAATAGAAATCGACCAAAATAGGCGCCCGCAGAGATGTCCGATTTTCCCTCGTTTACCTTCGTGCATATACCTTCGTATATGTATATATCTCCCCTTAACCCTCCGCATTTTACCTGAGAGCCTGTGACGAAATATTTAGTCGAAAATATTGTCCCTAATGCTGGCGCCAGACAAGTCTTATGCTGATGATGATGACAGACTTAGGCACCGTACACAAAACAAATCCAACCTGTCACACTAACGACTTCTGCGAAGACAATGGGCCCGTTCCTCTCGGTCCTGGCCAGCTTCCCCTGCCCCTTTCCCTTCCCTTCCCTTCCAGCGACCCGTCCCACTCCGAGGTATCCGAGGATTGCAGTTTGCTTTGGCTTTGTCTATAAGCCAAAAGTGTTGCACTAGTTTCGGAGGGATTTCACCTGAGAGACAAAAGGGCCCGGGGATCGGGAGGGCTTTGTATTCCACTTCCCCGATTCTCCGCTCCTCGGCTGCTGTGTGTGTGGAAATTGTGCATGCATTTTATGGTGCAATTCCTTTGTCCTGCCGGCGAAGGCAGGCCAATATTTTTATTGGCCTTGTAGTATATAGCATCGTACAAATAGCTGCAACAGCCGCTAAGAGTTATGACCCGGCGCCTAGGAGCTCATCTCCCGAACAAAGGGCTGTGAAAGGCACTTTTGGCTCAGTATGGAACTAAATGGGATAGAATGCTATGTTGTATGTGATATCATGTAGTGATCGTGCACCAATTCCGATTCCGATCCTCGGAGATTGCCGAATAAAAGTGGCGCAATCGATTAAACTCAAAGTACATAATTGCTTTTTGCGTTAAAAAATGTGAACTTTAAAACTTAATTGTCAATGCTTATGGCAGTATAAAACAAAATGAAATCACATTTATAGACGTAACTATTTTTTAGCCCAGTTAATTATTAATCATTTCGAATCTTGTTTTCATTTTTGTAAACACTTTATTATTTGTAAAACTCAAGAAAAAACATGGTCAATGTAGTTAGGTAAATTACCTAACGAAATCACATTGCATGTCAATTAATTAATTAATTTAAATTGTTTTGCATAATAAAATGTAAATGTACATTGTAACCAGGCTGGCCCTATAAATATCAAAAGCAATTCCACTTCAAATCAGTTTAAAGTTAAATCTCCATTGACGTAAAGCAATGAAGGAAGTCGTCCTATATATATTACTAATGCTGACCGGCAAGGGATACGTAAGAAATTGAATAAAACACGCAATGTTTTCGATTATTTTGAAATTATTTTCCAGACAATCTTTCGGAAAACGTACGAGGCTCATTTCGTATCTCTTGAGTCATCGGGCCCAGAGGTGGTCGATTTGAGTAAAATTCGATTTTTGGGACGAGATCACAGGGCAAATGGCACTGTGGAGCTAATGGAAGATTTGGATAATCACTTTACAATTTCTGCTGAAAGTTTCCTCGATCCCAACGGCGATGGCGAGTACAAGCAGCTCCCATTTTCTGCTCCCATACAAGAACTCTGCAAGTCTATGAACTCATATTGGTCGTACATCGAGAGGTCCTTGAAGTACGGAGAGAACACCAACTTCCCCTCCGACACCCGCCCATGTCCCTTGCCAAAGGGGACTTTCTGGTTCAAGGATGTGCTCATCGATACTGACGCTTGGCCGACAATGCTGCCGCGAGGCTATGCCAAGGGTGTGGTTAAACTATTCAAGAGGGGCAAGTATATGGGCAATGCTACAGTTGTCGCTCACATTACCAACATTTCCTAGCCCATTTATCGAATGCAGGCATATATAATGGAAAATTAAAGTACAAATCTGGCATTTAAATTTGGTTTTAATGACTTTTAGCGATGGAATATTATACTTTGATCATCACGTTTCTACAAAATTTTGTAAAATACAATAAAATTGACTAAAAAAATGGTTTTTAAATGTTTTTCCTTACCATGTTGCTGTTAGAATGTGTGGTATTTGTTTAGTCCGTTGGTTTTATCAATTTTCGTCACAGAATTTGATATCTTTCTAGCTTTTGTAGTTCCTGAGATCTCAGCTTTATACGTAATACATAGTTCAACAAAATCACATTGCATGGTGGTATATTATTTAATAAAAATGGAATTAGATAATAGAGATGTATAAATATCTTAAAAAAATTCCAAATATTGTATGAACCACTTTGTTCGTGGTAAAGGGTTTAGTGATCAACTAACCACATTGTTAAATGTTTTATATCTGTAAACAATGCCAAGTTCGTGATCACTGATTATATAATAAGGGGATTAGGGTTTAATTGGTATGGCTCATGACATGATACATGTAAAGATACTGTTTTGGAATCTTTGATTATATATTTGGGCATATAAATACGCAATGCTTTTCATAGCGAGCTTAGTTTCCCTAACTAAAATGTTCCAAGCAAGTTTGTTGTTAATTCTCTTTCCATTGATCGCTGATGGCTCAGTAAGTCAGTAAAGAATGAATAACCAGGACTTTTCAACAAGTTTTATTAAACTCCTGTAGGGTTTTGGCTTCAAGTCATTCACGATGTCCATAGTGTCGGTAAAGCAGTCTAATGCATCCGCGGTGTGGGATCTCAGTAAAACGCGATTGATTGGACGCGAAAGGATGTTGAATGGAACCGCTACGCTGAGGGAGGACATGACTGATGAGCACTGGAGCTTTAGCGTAGAGCTTTATTCCGACCCGACCGGTGAGGGAAATTACAAACTGTTGCCTTTTGGAATTCAACAGATACCCGCTTGCAAGGGGTACAAACAATATCGCAGATACTTCACCAAACATGCCAAATATGGAGAGCAAACCGATTTTCCCCTGCATCTGGATGTATGTCCCATACCGAAGGGTACTTACTTTTTAAAAAACATTACACTAAGTGGCGAGGACTATCCACCATTTGTGCACAGGGGCTATTTGTTGGGCAACGGTACGCTCTACTACGACGGCATAAACGCAGGCTATTATACCATCGTAGTTCACTTGGAAGATGTGGAGTAAAGCTACTTCATGTACCTACTTTTTAACGATTAACAGCTACAACAACAGTCAATGTAGATAGAAGATAGCTCAACAAAATCACATTGCATGGTAGTATACTATTTAACAAAAATGGAATTAGATAATAGAGATGTACAATGTGTTATTCAAAGCCAGAACTGGCCCTATAAATATCTAGAGCAGCTTGACGCTTATACAGTTTAAATTTAAAACTCTTTTGATGTGAAACAATGAAGGAAGTTCTGGCTTTTACTTTACTTGTGCTGACCGGCAAGGCTTACGTAAGTACTTGAATTTTACTTTATTGGATCGACGAGCTGACATTAATTTTCTAGAGTATCCTACCTAAATCCTATGAGGCACGTTTCATATCATTTGACTCCACGGGCCCCGAGGTCGTCGATTTTAGCAAAATTCGATTTTTGGGACGAGATCACAGGGCAAATGGCACTGTGGAAATAATGAAAGATCTCGATAATACGTTTTCACTTTCTGCTGAAAGTTTCATCGATTCCAATGGCGATGGCGAATACAAGCAGCTTCCCTTTTCCATTCCCTTAGAACCATTCTGCAAGGCTTTGAACTCATATTGGTCGTACTTTGATGCCAGCTTTAAGTATGGGGAGAACACCGACTTTCCCGTCCACACCCGACCATGCCCCGTGCCGAAAGGCATTTACTATTTCAAGGATGTTCTCATAAAAACTGACGGTTGGCCGACTATAATGCCGCGAGGCTATTTAAAGGGCGTGACCAATCTATTCAGGAACGGCGAAAATGTGGGCAGTCTTGAAATTGTGGCTCACATTACGGACATTGCCAAGTAAATCGTTGGAAATGTACCATTATATAAATATTCGTATATTATATTTTACTTCTTCTTACAATGCATCACAAAACAATTATGTATAATTAGAGTGAATGTTGTTACAAATTAAATTCTAGATAGTAAAGTGGTATAGAAAGTCACAATTGTATTATTCAATTTTAATAAGTTGTTATGTTTTAATCGCTAGGAGTATCATGCAATGTAATTTTAATAAACTTGGCATGCAATTCAATTATACAATTCAAAGTCATCCGATAATCCTATAAATACTAAACTAAGGGACGTTTTCTCTCCGGCATTTTAAATTTAAAGTAGTTATAAAACGCATGAGTTCATAGTTTAAAGCGCACTTTATTATTTTTCTTACTGTAAACTGACTACTAATCCCTTGATATGTCTAGTTATTAAAAGATTAGTGTCAATACCTTAGAAGACGAAGAAAATTGATACCTTATGCCGACGTATTCCCTTTTATCAAGATGTCCAAGTGCCAAAAACACTTTTCACATTGAAACCAAGATTCTGGAAACTCCCTATTGAGAGTGCCAAAAGATTAGCATATCGCATCGAGTGGATCTGCCTGGGCAGACAATTCGACTGGCTGCAGATCAGAGCAAATAGCCGCCAACACCTTTGCCCCATTTCCTATATCCTTCGATTCAGCTGCCTTGATAGGGAAATCCTGGCCAAATGATTTCCAGCGAAATCTGATAGGGTCCGAAGTGATTTTCCGGGGCAAGATTGCGATAGCGATCACTTGTCCGATACGGAGATCAACGGTTCAAATCGTTTTCCCCGGATGGCCAGGATGATGTGCACATTTTCGACTAATCCCCGCCCGTCTCGCATTTTTTTTTTCGCCCGGCCAACGCCCCGCACAGACATGGGAATTGGTATCGGAATTGCCGTCGCCGCTGTGGCTTTATGCTAATGATCGGTTCTGGCCCAGAAACTAGACCAAAACGGGGAGGACCGCAGCGCTAAAACCACTCATGGCTCATTGTCCGGCGATTGTTTCGTCAAAACCGAAAAGCAAAAACCAGAAACAAGAGGAAGCCGAGCCTAAATATTGCAAATCTGGCCGGGGCGACTGGGCCATTGTTTTGGCCCGGTTTTCGAGAGTGGCACTGGCGGTTGGCAGAGTGGCGAGTGCGAAAATAAAAATCTCTTAATCGGCACTGGCGACAGCATTCAATGAGTTTTGCACTGCCTCCGGCTGGAAGGCAGAGGAAAAGGGAGAGGAGCGGAAAGGAAGGGAAACTGGCACTTGAAACATGACAATATCAATTTGTACGTACAATGGCCTAATCTGATAATCAGTGCAAACATGTCCTTTGTGTCCATTGTGCGTGGAACAATGCAAACGGCATAGTTGTGCGCCAGGATTAGGTGCCAAAGCCAGACAAAGTGCAGAAAAAAAGCGAGGTAAGGTAAAGTTTCAGTTTCAGCTTCAAGTTTTTTTGGCAGACCGCCCGGCCGAAACTGTGAGTTCATTACGCGACTCTATTAAATGATTAATGGGCATTTTATGGTAAACTCCCGGACCCACCGATCCCCATAAAACGAGCGATCATAAAAGGCAGACAAGTAAAAACAAGCGAGTCCCGAGATGATCGCTGCATGTAAAATGAACCTGGGTCCCAGGTTCCTCGTCTCCATCGCCGTCTTGTCAATCAAATTGCGAGGGCACACAACATAAAAATGATCGACAACAGTGACACTTTGGGCGGCAGGAATGTCGCGGATAAGCATCGATACAAACACACACCGAGATCGGGGGAATAAGGTTCATTTATCATCGCCGAGATTGGGGATGGGATGGGAAATCGGAATCGAAATGGAATGGGTAGCCCAGGATGGTAGGTGTGGCCTATGCCCAGCATGAATTAATCATCGCTCGAATCAAATTGAAATCACGGCAGTACAAAAAATAATAAAAATATCATAACAAATGCTGCAGACAGGCATTAATGAGCCGCGACAGTCCTCCCCATTAGATGGTTATTCAACAGAGGGTTGAGTTTTAGCGCCCAGAGATACACCACAAATTGACTTGTTTTCGCCGGGTTGCGTTGAACTCCCCACAAATTAGCTGCTCAATTGGGTAATAAAACCAAATGTGCCAATTGTGAGTGCACAAACTTTTCCCTCGGCGAGAACTTTGGCAGTAAGTGCTTGGAAAACAATTGTGCAATTGCATTAATTGCATTGTCGAATGAAAACAAAAGCCACAGGACATCGCTTTAAATGGCTGCTGCATATGCTGGGATTTGTTGGGTTATTCTTTTAGGGTTTTTTGGTGGTTAGAGATAGCGTCCACTCAATTATGTCATATCGGCGATACTAAATGGACTTTTAACTTGCTTTGATTGTACAATTTGGCCCCTTGTTCTGGGCTTACCTTTTATGGCCGGCCATTAAAAAGGCCAACGAGCGAGGAGCTTGCTCAGATTTATCAGCGTGCACGCCATAAAGTAACAAATAAATTTAAATACTAATAATAATAAAAAGTAATACACGCACACATTCGCTTTCCTTGGTGGCGGTGGCATCCTCGAAAAGGATACCATGTTACCAAGGACCAAACACATTTATGGCCAGCAATTAAATGGGGCTGCCATTTGTTTTATTATAACAGCGAGCGGCATTCAACATCGCCATCATCAGGAGCAAAGGCAAAGCAGCATCGGCATCAGCGATAAGGCTCCGTTTTATTATTATCCTTTATGCTTTTCGTGTGCTTTTTTTTCGTCCTTTGGGGTCCCGGGGGGCTCCCTTTGGGGGCGTGGCCTGGGCTGGGGGCAACTCACATTAGAATAGGCAAAGCTAAAACAAGTCAACTCAAATTGTTATCATTACCTAGAATTTGAAATGCACTATCCTTCGTTGGAAATAAATCACAGATTCCAGAAATAACTTTTAAAATATTTCCAAATTCATTGAAAATTAAAACCCTTTTAAAAACCCGAATGTTTTAAAGTAAGCAAACAGAGACATAATTATTTAATGATTAATTGTTATTGAATAGATATTCAAACTTGTATCCTTTTGTCAAGCAATTCTTGAGGCCTAGGCTAGTATTATAGCCAAATTGCTCACCTTTTGGCAGGGTATCGGAAGACAAGGCCATAAAAAGTCGCAATGCGCCATAAAAACAGTTAAAGCCAAGACAAAAGTCGCACACACAAATGCGATTTGGGAGTCGTTAAAAGCGCGCATGTGTGTGCGGCGAAGTCCTGTACAAATTAAGCCTTTCTACGCAAACAAACGAGCGCACATCCTTGCTGAGCGTACATATAGAATATATAACAAAATAAAGCGCCACCGATGAGATCTCTGAACCCCCTTTATTCCCCTCCACCGCCTCCCCTTCCCACGCCCCTGAGCATGTGCAAAGTAGGTTGCTCAAATCGCACACAACATAAAACATTTTTAATGCCAAACAGTAACAAAACTGAAAAAAAGAAAACCAGAAGAGCAGACAATAAAAAAGGGCTCACAAAACGAGCATAAAAATGGCAGCTGGCAAAAGAAAATGGCCGCACCGTGGAACCCCCATTTTCCTCAAATCCCCCGTTAAAGTCAGACACCCCCGCCATCCGTTTGGCGGTCATACGTACAGGATATTGTGTAAAAAGGATTAATGTGCCCCTTTTCTCTCTTTGTTTTAATTGCATTGAGGTTAAGGGGAGCAGGGGATTTGGCCAAGAGGAATGGGCCCAAACGGAATGTAAAATGCCCAAAAGCGCCGGAAAATAAATGTATATATTACCATCAGTGGCGTAGAGGATTACAAGAGGGGGTCTTTTAAAGGGATTTGCCTAAAAAGTTTACCAAATGAGGACTAAACTTTCTTCTTTATCATCTTTCTGTGTTAATTTAATAATGGTTTTATTTTAGCCCCCTCCCAAGCTACGCCTGTGCTTTTTGGGCAACCGGCGAATAAAATATATATTTGATGCCATAAAAATGTCACAGACGCCTTGAGTTATGCAGCTCGACTGTGGCTTATGTGGCGCCCTCGGCCAAATCCCATTCCCGCATCCATTCCGAATCCATTCCGCATCCCATGTCCCATTGCCATTGCCACTTCTTCGAGGGACACAAAAGACCGGAGCGTAACCCTTTTGTTTTGCACGGTTTTAATTTATATACGACTGCACACGAATTTATTGCTATATTATTTAATTGTATTATGTAAGGTCCTCGAGCTGGTAGTTAAGATTTTGGATTTGGCAAATAGAAATGTGAGAGTTCTTATCTTATTTTCCGGCCTTAAATAAAATGGTGAGCCATTTAAAAAAAAGTAATATTAAAGATGTATCCGGTTGATAAAAATAAATTAGATTTAAGTTATAAAATAAATTTAAATAATTTTTCATTACATTTAAAAGAAATGTACAACTAGTTCCAGCTTGCAACAGTTGCATTAACTCAATTAGGCGCTACTTGAATAAAGCATTTTCTCTGCCTGGCAGCTCGACCTTTCCCATTTGTTGGCCCAACACCTAACTGGGTCCAAATCAGCGATTCATCTGGGCCCACGCTCCCATTGCCGCCATTGCATGCAACTGAAAACCATTCTTTTTCCTTTTTGTTTTCCCATAATTTGTGTTCATTTTATGCAGAGCCTGTGTGTCTCTTAGTTAAACATCTCTCATTTATATGCCCCGTGAACGGGCTTTAACTAAGCGCGGTAGCAGTTTAGCTGTCCGCACACGCAAATTTTCCAGGCGCACACCTGCGGTTTCTTTTTTTTCTTTAGCCAAACAGGGAGCCTGGAGTTGGGACTGTGTCCCCAGATCAGGACAAGTTTGGGGGGAGGCTGAAGGGGGGAAGCAGCTCTTTAATTTATGGCGCTTGTCATATTTTGTTAGACACGGCGATTAATTAAAGTGCAGAACCCGAAGAGCCCGCCGAAAACCCTTGGCAAAACCCCTGGGCTAATTGAAAACCGCGCCAGGAGATGGAAAGCAGAAGGTAACCGCTTATTAAAAA